GGTGTACGTGTGTGAACCGAAAAACCCGGGGGGGCTACTTGGGGGCGGGGGGGAGAGGTAAGGCCTCGCGTCTCAGCGATACTCACAGGAGCACTTTTCTAGATGTATCTGACTGGTTTTACGGCCAGGTTTGGACGCCGTTGAACGCAATTTACGTCCAAAGATAGATTAGTTGAAGGAGTTCGAGTGTGAGCATGCTGATCTTCATTCGTTTCAGGTCGTTAATCTTGTACACCAATCGACGGCCAGAAAGCTAGCGTCTTCCCGCGAACACAACGCACCCTCATCATGCCTGCATCGGACCGGAATATCGCTCGTATACATTCATTATCAGGGTGCGTTATGCTCGGGGGACGATGGTAAGATCCTGATAAGTTGGGCCTCCCTCTTACCACCAGGAGAGGGTTAGCCAGCACGTCGAGTTTCGAGATTTTGTTTATTCAACCCAAGCTACCACGTTTCTCATTTGAAATTCGACACTATAATATAATGACTCCATTGTAGCAATAGTGAAGGTATAGAGATACAGATTTAAGGGATCGTACGTGTACATACCGTATGTAAATTAGGCAGACAAAGGGCGGAGAGAGAGAGAGAGAGAGAGAGAGAGAGAGAGAGAGAGAGAGAATTGATAACGATAGTGATGAGAAGGCGCATGCATTCGTGGTCGCTTGGAAGGGTGGGCGGAGACGGCCAGGAGAGAGAGAGAGAGAGAGAGAGAGAGAGAGAGAGAGAGAGAGAGAGAGAGAGAGAGAGAGAGAGAAGAACAATGCTGAGTCATCCACTCATTTTGTCAGGCGCGAATGTCGAAAATATAATTAATTAAGGCGCTCCTGTCAGTATGTGCGCGCGCTACTGGGTTTGTGCCCGCGCCCAAGCGCGCGCTTGCAGACCAGACTGTAGTAGGTGGCTTTCAGCAACGTGCTGAGCTCTTCTGATTCCCTTCTCATCTTCTCTGCTAGTCCTATTCTCGTCGCGGCAACACTCTTAAGCGTATCCGTGTGAATTCTCTCTCTGTCTGCACGAAGGGGAGGGAGGAGAAGGAATGAGGAGGAGGGAGGAGACAGGAGGGAGGAGACAGGAGGGAGGGGGGAGGAGGGAGGGGGAGGAGCGAGAGTGGAATGAGCAGAAAACGAGCGTTAGAGTGATCTTGTTTGTGCAAGAGATCGTGGAGCTCCGTTGCCGTCTGAAAAAAAGGTTAAGTAATAAGAGAGATGTCGCAGATGGGAATAAGACTCAGGGAGGCGGCGGTAGAGCGACGGAGAGGGGCGACAGAGACGTGGCGACTGCTTGTGCGACAAGCTGAACAGACTTTTCTGTGAAGTCAATGACCGGAATGACCTCCTGTGCGACCTCCTGTGCGACCAGCCGAACGAATCGCCTGTCGCGCCGGCAGGTGGGCAGCGGTTACGCCGGCGGCAGGTAGACTGGCCCTGTAGCACTGTTCGACGTTGATCGTGCTGCGGCACTGTGCGACGGTGATCCTGCTGCAGCACTGTGCGACGTTGACTCCGCGGTTGTTGATCCCGCCGCACTGAGGGACGTTGACTCCGCGGCACCGTGCGACGGTGTGACCGAGCTGCAAGCGCAGCACGGCAACGATTATCCTCAGCGCACAAGCGCTTTGGCAGGTGGGCCACGTGCAAGTAGGACGTAGGAGAGCGGTCGCTGAGCAGTGAGCGACCGCGAGCTAGAGTGCCAACGGAGTGGTATCATGGCGGCTGTGCGACAACGACCGGTAGGACATCGACGGACGTGAGGAAGTGATCTAGAGAGGGAAGGGGTAGGACAGGGTAGAACGACCGGTCGATGGATAGAGCAACGGAAGCAGGATGTTGGCAGAGGATCGGTAGTTCAGCCTCTGGCTTAACGGGCGACCAACGGAACGACCGCACGGGGCACTAGAGATAGGCGAAACCAGTAGGCAAAGCGCGCCGCGCTGCGCCGCGCCCCTCTAGACCAGTAGGCAAANACCAACGGAACGACCGCACGGGGCACTAGAGATAGGCGAAACCAGTAGGCAAAGCGCGCCGCGCTGCGCCGCGCCCCTCTAGACCAGTAGGCAAAACGCGCCGAAGAAAACCAGACGGATCGATTCGAGGCCGGAGCGGCTACTTAGGGCCAGATTCCACTAGCCCCTATTGTTCATTTCTGACCGTTGATCTTCGTAATCGACGGTGGAAAATGAATAATCCAGGGTAGTGGGATCTGACCCTTATAGTCAGGGGCGAAGCAGCTGGCGGACGGATCGTGAGGCTTTCGGACTGGCAGGTAGAGTTGTCTGATGCTGGGAGAACGTAACAAAAGAGAGAGAGAGAGAGAGAGAGAGAGAGAGAGAGAGAGAGAGAGAGAGAGAGAGAGAGAGAGAGAGAGAGAGAGGGGGGGAGGGGGAGGTGATATGGATTTGGGTGTATAGTAGCCGTTGCCGTGACGCTTGGGGTGTGGGAGGAGTGGGAGGAGAGGTGGCGGAGGGGGAGGTGATCGGGATTACAAAGGTGACTTTTTTGGTGTCAAAAGAAGACGAAGGGCACTGAGAAGTCGAACGGTGTAGAGGTATTCCTTTTTTGTTTCTCTGTGAATGCGTGTAGGTGCGGGTGTTTGAGTGCGAGCAGGCACTGCCACCACAGGTGTACATAAATAGATCCATTCCATTGGCTCCAGTGATATATCTTGATATACAAGATGGATACATAGAGAGAGAGATATGCCTATGCAAAGGTGCAGCGATAATATGATAAAAATATTATTAAGATAGGTAGGTAGATAGATCGATGGACAGAATATCAATAGCTGGGTAGAATAGATCAATAGCTGGACTGTTATTTATAGATAGGTAGATGTATAAAATATTATAAATCGATAAACCGATAGATATACGGATAGATGATCAGGCAGATAGGATATACGAATGGATGGATAAGATAGAAAAGTAGTTGAAAAATAGCGCAATAACTGGATGGAATAGACAGATGAATAGCAGGACAGTTATTTATAGATAGGTAGACAGATAAGTAGACATATACAGATAGATTATCATGCAGATATATGATGTATGAATGGATGGATAAGATAGAAAAGTGGTTGAAAAATTGTCGCGACGTACGTAGATCCTCTATCTATAAATAGATCAGATAAGATAGTGAGTCTTCTATCTATGTATAGTCTTTTATTATCTATAAATAGAAAATAGAATAGATATACAAGTGAATATAGGGAGCTGAAGCAAACAGGGACTCGGGAAATAACGTAGATTGATGACTTATTTGCGTCGGTAATTAGGTTGACGTCGCGTGGAAGAATGATGTGCGTCTATCGTCATTCTTTATCTATAGTGATGGAGATAGCTGGGCAGATGAATGGCGCGCTTTGACTGCAAGCGGGGGTCATCTTTCCGCTCTTCTGAGAGGGGTTAATCCGATGCTGCCGTGTGTATCTGCATGGAAGCTGAGGTGGTGGCACAGACACAGACGAGGTCAGTGGGG